TTGTGGCTCCAGATACCGCTCGTTTTTCACTTTAAGATCACGCTTCATTATATATCTGGACCCTTCTCGACGTATTTCTCCTTCAATTATCTTGTAGTGAAGGAATTACACTGGTACTATTTCTATCGGCCATGATACACTCAATAAATATTCACCACTCACTGGTCAAGTGTCCACGTTACGCCATATTTGAATCCTCCCCAAAACGTTATTTTGTACACATTTTTATTTAAATTCACTGACACTTCCACATGTATAATACATTTTTTTAATCAGAATATTAACGTTACGAATATTACAACAATTGCAATTTACTAAATTAATGTACTACAATAAATAAGGAAATTATAAGTGATGTTGATTGCCCTGTGGCTTACCACCTTCCAAAAGTCCCAACAACACCACGCACCTGCCTTATTATATAAGCATTACTTTCCTGTCACTTACCACACACAAATCCTAGGAAAATTATAAAAAAAATTACACAGTGGCCAAATCTGCATCTATACTTAGAATTTCACTTCGCCAACGCCAACGCTCGAGGGTTTTGGAGTTTATCGGAGCCATTCAAGGATGATGAGAATGAGTTCAACAATTATGGTCATCAGGCAAGTGTTGTGTTGTGTTGTGTGTGTGTGTACTCACCTATTTGTACTCACCTATTTGTGGTTGCAGGGGTCGATTCACAGCTCCTGGCCCCGCCTCTTCGCTGATTGTGTGTGTGTGTGTGTGTGTGTGTGTGTGTGTGTGTGTGTGTGTGTGTGTGTGTGTGTGTGTGTGTGTGTGTGTGTGTGTGTGCGTGCGTGCGTGTGTGTGTGTGTGTGTGCGTGTGCGTGTGACTCAACAATCAATATTTGCACCATTATTATTATATTATTATAATCAAGGGGGAAGCGCTAAACCTGGAGGATTATACAGCGCCTGCGGGGGGGGGGGGATGTGGAAGGCATTCAGGCTTAATTCGGGGAACTGGAGCACAGATCCAATTCCCTAAATCAAGAGCCCCTCACCAACATCAAGGAACCTTCCTTGAGGGGAATATTTGCACCAATAACTCATTACAGTTGTGACCGGGTGTGGAAGTGTGAATTGCTCATTACTCTATAATTTGTTCATGATTGTAGCCATGTATAAACGTAAGTAACCATTCTTACAGTATTCTTTACCTTTGTAACTTGTGAGTTCATTACCTTGTACCTAGTTCAGCCATCCAAACTTTGGGGCCCAGTCCCTGGACCCATTACGTACCTCTGTAATCTGTAAATACCTTTGTAACTTGTCATGATTGTGACTAGACCTACCTGGAGTTCATTACCTTTGTAATTTGTAAGTTCATTACCTTTGTAGATTGTGAATTCATTACCTCTGTAACTTGCTCAGCTATCAAAACTTTGGAGTCCAGTCCCTGGACCAATTATGTACCTCTGTAATCTTTTGACTACCGCCCACAGGATGGGTATGGGGTGCATAATAAACATATTAAACTAACTAAAACTAACGGGCAAGTGAACAATTGCTCCAAAAATGACGGGCTACAATGCAAAACCACTGAAAATTTGAAGCCAATCTGATACGCGCTATAAAAGAAAATATAAAGCCTGAAGAAAAAGATTTCAGGCAAGGTCTTTCCTCTGGGATATTTGATTACGTAATTCAGCCTCCGCCTCTTCCCTATCAGTCCTTACTCTACTACTACCCCGAATGTTCTGAATCTATTTGCATATAACTCTATTGCTTCCAAAACCTGCCCCCTTTTGTACCCATCCAATATTATTATAATAATCAAGGGGGAAGCGCCTGTGGAGGGGGATGTGGAAGGTATTCAGGCTTAATTCAGGGAACTGCAGCACAGATCAAATTCCCTAGATCAAGAGCCCCTCACCAGCATCAAGGAACCTTCCTTGAGGGGTACCCATCCAACAAGGTGACTCGTAGCTCGTAATGGAAGGACCAGGTTCATCCCCGGCACGAATTGAAATGTTTTCCCTGTTCACCTAGCAGTCAGTATTATAATAATCAAAACTAAGCGCTAAACCCACCAGGGTCATGCAGCGTTATTAACAGTCAGTAGGCTTCTGGGGGTTAGCAGATTGTTGTAACTCATACCCGAAGGATGTTAATCTTGGGGCACTGCTAAACCCAACGGTCATACAATGCTGCTTTGATATAAGCAGGGCAATGATAACAGCTTTTCACTTAAATTAAAAAAAAAAGTCAAACCAAACCTATATACTGTATTCATGGGAAAAATGAACCTTAAATCAGCTCCAGGAAAAATGGGAGGCACTCGGTTCAATCCAAAGAGCAGCACAGGTTCAATTCCTTAAATCAGTAACGCCTTAGTCATCGACAACCTTCCTCGAGAAAATGGTCACATTAATATAATGAAATTAAGCGTTTAGAAAAGGCCATACAACGGCCAGAGAGATATGTGCAAAAATGGGGTGTGTGGAAGGGGAAGAGAAGAAAAATGTGTGCATAGGTAGATTATTATTATAATCAAGGGAAGCGCTAAACCCGTAGAATTATACAGCGCCTGGGGGGGGGGGATGTGGAAGGCATTCAGGCTTAATTCGGGGAACTGGAGCACAGATCCAATTCCCTAAATCAAGAGCCCCTCACCAACATCAAGGAACCTTCCCTGAGGGGTGTGCATAGGTAGAGGTTAGTGGCGGTAGGGAGAGTACAAGTGTAAAACCTACATTAAAGTCTGTGCAGGGGCTAGTTTGTTGGAGTCTCCCAAACACGACAGCAATGGTTAGATTGTCAGATACCAGGGATGGTCATAACACCTGAGGAAACGGTTGAGACTAATTCGAGCTAAGGAAGAGTCTGAAGAGAAGTTGCAAAAGTTGTTGGACGAAATTGCGAAATTAACAATAATGATGAAGGGAGAAAAGGTGGTTAGTGCACTGAGGCATCTGTGAAGACAATGTTATCCATGGAGGCAGATGGAAATGAGAGTACAGTGGTACCAACAGTGTGAAGCATGGGTTGCGAAGGTTGCAGCGGATGGAGGCAGTGACGAGTTTGAAGGCAATGTGGTAATTATCATGCAGATAATTCGTAGCTTAGTTACTATTGTTAACCAAGGGGGCTGGAGGACTTTAGTCAGTTTGGATACTCAGAGGATACCAGAAACACGGCTGGAACAAGTGTAGAAGCCTTCAAGAGGAAACTGGACAAGTATCTTCACCAGGTGCCAGTCAACCAGGCTGTGATGGATGTGGGGTAGTGGGCCTTCAGCAGCAACAGCCTAGTTGACCAGGCAAGCACCAGACGAGCCTGGCCCATGGCTGGGCTCCGATAGTAGTGAAACTCGAAACTTCAAAGGTATATCAAAGATAAGGTATAGAGCAAAATGGGACGATTTATGTACAAATAGGTAGTGGAGGGGTAGCACAGTAGGGGTCACCCTAGGAAAGATTGGAAGGGGTAAATTATGGGGGAGCGCTAAACTCGTAGGGATTATACAGCGCCTAAGGGAGGGGGGTACATGGCATTCAAGGAACCCCTTCGTCGAGGGTAAATTATAATCGTAACTAAGCGCTAAATCCTTAACGGTCATAAACCGAGGGGTGTGTGCATTATTATAATCAAGGGGAAGCGCTAAACCCGTAGGATTATACAGCGCCCAGGGGGGGGGGATGTGGAAGGCATTCAGGCTTAATTCGGGGAACTGGAGCACAGATCCAATTCCCTAAATCAAGAGCCCCTCACCAACATCAAGGAACCTTCCATGAGGGGACGGGTGTGTGCAGTGGGGTTTGATATCCAGCAGGCGTGAGCGTGTTCGTGGAGGCAAATGGTTTTTGGGAATTGAGCTGGCATGTGAGCAGGGTTAACTTTTTCATTCGGGAAAAACCGGTTAGCCGGACTCCAGCCCTTGAGGTGGGTAGTAGTGCCTGCATTCTACAGGGGTGGGGATATTTTGCGGTTTAGATGATAATGGGGAGCGCTAAACCCATAGGATTATACAGCACCTGTAGGATAAAGGCATTCAGGCTGAATTCAAGAAAGTTGGTCCCAGATACAATTCCCTAGAACAAAAGCCTTTCACCAGAATCAAGGAACCTCCCTTGAGGGGGGGGGGGGGGGTTGCAGTTTTAAGAGGGGCATCTGAACTACAGTATTGGCATGCCTCTGGCAAAGCAGTGGAGTCGATGATTTGAGTGTCAACCTGCCTCAGTGGGAGGTTATAAATTTCCATCACTACTGTTCCTATTAGTGTATTATCAACTGCCAGCAGTATATTATGATCAGAACTAAGCACTAAACCCACCAGGGTCATACAGTACTCTACAAAGCACTATAGCATACTTATTGACCTATATCTGGTCTAACCCTTAAAATTTAAGCTCTTTAGAAAATAGCAGGACCCTTTTATCGAGATACCATTGCAAAAGTGTTTACAGCGAGGCTAGGCTCAATTCCTTTGATCAGTTATCAGCATTCTGGTAATCAAATTAAGCACTTAAACCGTAAAGGTCGGACTACACTGCAATGCAGGAAGAAATGTGCAAAGGTTAAGAACAGCGGAGGTACGAGTAAAATTAGAGGGTATTGGGGAAGGGCTAGTGCAATAAAAATTGGCAAAATAGGTTAGTTTAATTTGAAGTCAGTTTGGGCATCTAAGTTAGCTCTATCATTCAACATCAGAAACTTCAAACATAATAATAATGGGGGAGCACTAAATCCACAGGATTATACGTCTGTGCGTGCATGTGAGGGAGGGGGGGGGGGGGAAGAAGAAATGTGTAAGGCATTCAGTTAACTAGAACAGATTCAATTTTAGATCAAAATCCCTCACCAACATCAAGGAACCTCCCTTGAGGGGCAAACTTCATGCAAAACTTCCACTCAAGGACTGCAATTTAGATTAGATTAGGGATAGTTTCAAAGAACTTCAACACTTCACCTCTGCAGTAATGACCCCTAGTAGAAAATTGTTTTTTTAATTTACGAACTGAAATTTCAAATAGGAAAATTAAAATAAATCATCAGTTATACTTTTTTTTTTACTTTCTCCCACTTCATTGCAATCACAGTAACAGTAAATAAAACCTTAATATTATATATATCTGTGGTATGATGCTTCTGCGATTACAGTTTGTCCAGGTAATTAGAGAGATCAGGCAGGCCTTCCTTCAAGCCCTTCCTCTTCCTAGTTTCCATAACAATATTGTAGGGCTTGCTGTTGCTTGTGGCATCAGTAGGGCTACCTGGCATTTCTTGCCAGTGATCGAACACACATTGAGGGAATGCCTGACCACCAGTGTTTGAACGAAGATCAGCAGTGAATCCAAAGGACTCATTGACAGGTAGATGAGCCTTAACAACAAACATTGGTGTTCCTACCACTTGCATCTCCTCGAATACAACACCACGCCGCCTGTTGAGTACACCATAGATGCCACCAACAGCAGCCTCAGGGCACTGAATTTCACAGAGGTACACAGGTTCTTGGAGACGGGGTTCTGCAGTAAGGACTGAAGCATAAAGTACACGCCGAGTAGTAGGAATGATCTGGCCACCACCACGATGAATAGCATCAGCATGTAGAGTAACATCATGAAGGTTGAAGCGAACAGCTCTCATGTTCTCGTCACAAAGTACACCTTCCTTTGTGGCCCACTGGAAGCCAGCTACACAAGAATCTTTAATCTCGTTGAGATACTGCACTCCCTTGGTAACATCCACAAGAATATTTGCTCCAGTTGATTCTGGGCCAAATGTCCAGATCTTCATAGCATCTGTGGCATCAAAATGGTAGTTCTCGCAGAGGAATGTCTTCCTAGCCTTAGGATCATCACGTGGTGTAACCTTACCATCCTCAATATCAGCAGCCAAGCCATCAGGCATAGGCATGGCCTTCATATACAAACGGTTGTGCTTGTTAGGAGACTTTGACAAACACAGCTCTGTTGATTCTGCCCCAACAGTCTCCCTATATGAGACTACTGGATCAGTCTTCTTCAGTGGAATGCAAGCATGGTCTTCCTCAAGATCCTGCAAATATGCAAAGAGATCAGTCTACACATCAGGCAATACCATAAATGAAAACTTTTACACAACTAGGGTTACACTGTTTACTACTTAATTATGAAAATATTAAAAGTTCCCAAGTCGCAAAACTTAAATTGCTTCCATCAAGATATTAAAAACCTGCAATATTTTCTGACCTACAAGACGCCCCAATTTTGGCAGGCAATTTAAGTCCTCCCTGACCATCAGGTCATTTTAAAGCTTTTTATCTATTCAAATATATATTAAACCCAACTATTTTCCTGTTCATAATGCTCATGATATTTATTGCCACATCCTCAACCATGCATTCCTCTGGGTCATCAAGGATCTCACAGTCAGAGGTGTGTTTCCTAGTATAAAAGATCAAAGATCATTGTGCCATCAAGAGCACTGCTAATGCAACACTTTAAATGACAGTAAAACTGCAGCCATTTTAATTTCACTCCAAGCATTTTTGACCCACTGGCAAACCTGAGCTACTGTAGGCTTCATCTGACTTGTTGGTGCTAGCTCATGCTATGGGAATCATCCATTTGTTTCATGTACCCCTTAAAATGCTTGTTTATCAATAAATCCAGGGGTTGCAATTTACCTATTAATCCTCGAGGTATTATAGTTAGTAGTATTTTTGATGTTTACTCTTGGTGGCCTTCGTTAAGCTAGACTAACTGGTCCCACATGAGAAGAGACAGCTGCTTGCTGGCACTACATATCCAAGCAGCTGAACTGACAAAGTGCAACCCAAAACGTATCCTTGACCATGGCCTTGAGTATACAAAGCTCAGGGTGATTTTCGAAGACTTTTGGGGGGAAAATAAGGTGGGCTTTTTATGCCAGAAAATACAACACATGCACAAGATTAAACTATTCCTTGCGTTCTCATGAACCCATATCTGTAGTTCCAAATAAAACCAGAAATGATAAACTGACACCACCATCTTGTATTCAGGGAAGGGAAGTACCCGTTGACATTTACGAAGGATCACTGACTGCATATTCAGGAAGGAAAGGAGGGAGGTAAGGAGATGGGAAGAACTGCCCACAAAATCCACCCCTGCATTAATTGGTAATGGCAGGGAAATGAGTGGCATTGTGACAATTCAATGAACTAGCTTTATCATGCTAATGGCTCAACCCTTTCAGGGTTTCGGCCGTACTAGTACGGCTTACGCACCAGGGTTTTTGACGTACTAGTACGCCTAAATTCTAGCGCCCTCAAATCTAATGAGAGAAAGCTGGTAGGCCGACATATGAAAGAATGGGCCTATGTGGTCAGTGCGTGCGGTATAAAAAAATTCTGCAGCACAGTGCGTGATGAGAAAAAAAAAAAAACTGACTTTTTGGATTAAAACAGCGACTTTGCACTGTATTTTCGTATGGTATTCATTGTTGTATTCTAGTTTTCCTGGTCTCATTTTATAGAATGGAAGACATATTACAGAAATTGAGATGATTTTGACTGGTTTTACAAAGAGAAGTACCTTGAAATTGAACTCAAAGTAGCAGAATTGTTCGATTTTTACCAAAGTTCAAAAGTAAAATCATGCTATGCGTCCAATACACGTCAACTGGCAAGTCTAACATTCTTTCACAAGTGCTCTGATATTATTTATACCATTTCTACACTAATGCAGTAGTCTGCATAACAGTAAATCTTTTTTTTTGAGAGAATAAAAATTCAAAGTGGAAAGCAAAAGAATGTATGAGGGGCTTGGGGACATGACTAATGAACATAGGAAATGTTATTTTAGTGCCAGGAATGTGTCTTATTCTGGACCCTATTCAGAAATTGGCATCTTTTGAAATTTGTGTGAAATTGGCAAAATTGCTAAATTCTGACCAATGTACTGGATAGTTGTTGAAATCGGTAAGTGGGTGGTTTCTTGTACTTATTCTATAGAAAAAATGGAGTTGTAGCGAAATAGTTATGATTTTTGTCGACAAGTAGACTGGAATTGGCCAAAAATAGGGCTCAAAGTGGACAAAGTCGTCGATGCGTAAACATCGTTGAGACCACTAACTTCACGAGAGCATAATTCCGTAAGTTTTCCATCAAATTTCATACTTTTGGCGTCATTATGATCGGGAAAAAATTCTATCTTCTCAACGGATTTTTTTTTTTTTTTGAAATTTGAGTGACCCTGAGAACAAGTCTCTGAGAGGGCCTGTCGACCCTGAAAGGGTTAAAGGACCACATTAACGTAAGTCAGTCAAGTTCATCAACACAGACATTGTGCATATGCTATTATGATCCCTATTTCATTCATGTTAAGAAAGCACTTGGTTACACAGCACCTGCAAGAAAATATATGTATATGCTTTGTTTTAGCAAGATCAAGACTAGCAATCAAACTCGTGTGCAAATCCTTTAAACACACTTGGTACAATACTTTCATATATGGTTTACCAACCTACCACAAATTAAAAATACGATATTAAGTCTTACCTTTAGGCAAATCTCAAGATGGAGTTCACCAGCTCCTGCAACAATGTGTTCTCCAGACTCTTCAATGATACACTGCACCATGGGGTCAGACTTCGAAAGACTGTTAGAAAAAATAATAATTTAATTAACCTACAAATACTTTACAACCTTAATCTACCTCCATGATAAAGACTATCTTTTACAACATTCATAAAAATAGGCAAGATATGCCTCTTAAACTTATTGAAATACTATTAATTGACAAGACAATCCAATACTTGGAGAAAACTCACCAGGGGCAAGTAATTTCTTATCTTCCATAGGTAGCTTTTCAACAGGAAGACTCCACCCATTTAATTCCCAACCTTGGAAGGTAATGTACCTTCCAACTGCCAAGGAAGCCAAACTAATAACAGAGCCCGCTACATACACTTCTATGATCAAGAATAAATGCATCACACCTTGAAGCCCTGAGTTTGTCAATTCATACATCTTTTGAGTTTAAGCTTACATGCTCCAACAGCAATTCATATTTTTGAACACTTGTTAATTTTTTTTTTAATAAAAGAATAGCACTTACCAAACATTTCTTAATAACTTAACCCTGCCTGGGATATTGAACTTACTTCACTGGACTAAGATCCCACTCCTTTGTAAAATGCCCTTTTAAACTTTAAAAATGAATCCTCTCCCCTCTGGAACATTAAAATACTTATACACCTACTTCATTCAATTTCCTTTGCTGTGTGCCCGTTCAAGGCTTCAGCACTTACGACTTCAGTTCCTCCAAGTCTAATAAGTAATTGTTTAATTGCCTCAACTCTCCCATACTAATTTAACATTTCCCTCTTGCACCTTCATTCAAAAAGTTCTGCTACCAACTCTTACTTCTACAAAATGCTTACTCTCCAATTGTCTACCTCACTGACAACCAACTAACAGACGGTAACTGAGCATACTGCTCCTTTTGAACACCTCAAATTTCATGTACAATGAAGACGCTTATTTTCCATAATTAGTCAACCAAATGCCTTCACATTATCCCCTCTTTATACCAAATACACTTCCCATCCAGCTGAATTTGTCACTTTTTATTCACGCCAATCATTTTAATGAACCTATTCCCACAACACTTATAGTGCCCCTAAACCTAGCAATTAGCTTTTCAAAGTTTATATATTTAAACATCCAAGACTGAATTCAGTGAACTAATGACTAGCTGATCACAGGGAAAACAGTATGAACAAAATACTTTTAAAAGACTTTAGTAAAACAATGTCATAATTAAAACTTTCGGCAAAAAAAAAAAAAAAAAAAAAAAAAAAAAAAAAAAATTACTGACCGTTTAAGACCTTCCACAAGCTTTGGCAAGTCCGATGGGTTCTTTGGCTCAACAGCCACACGCACAACTGGAGACACGCTGAACTTCATAACTTTCATGTTGTGAGCATCCTTACTAGTTGTGATCGTTCCCGTTTTCACCAGATATTGATCAACACCCACTAGTCCACAAATGTTTCCTGCAGGAACATCTTCAATGGCCTCCACAAAGCGACCCATCATCAAGATTGACCTCTGGATAGATTTCTCGTATAGATCTTCCTTCTTGCCAGGAACAAAATTAGGACCCAGAATTCGTACCTTTTGTCCACTACCAACCTTACCAGAAAAGACACGACCAAAAGCATAGAAACGTCCTTTGTCAGATGTAGGTACCATTTTAGATATGTACATCATGAGTGGGCCTTCAGCATCACAGTTTCTAATACCAGTGCAACAAGCATCATCAGATGGTCCCTCGTACAGCATCTCGGCACGGTATTTTTGTGCTGTTACTGGAGAAGGTAGGTGAATTGTGATCATGTGGAAGAGGGTATCACCAGCTGGAAGCCATGTGCGCATTACTACCTTAAGTAAAGGTTTTCCTTCTTTATCCCTGTCTTCACTCACCAGCTTAATTTTCAGGGTTTCCAGAAGCTTTTGAGTTTCATCTTTCTGCAAGAAACAAGTTTAAGGAATGAATTCAAACTGCTAGTGTACCTCCCTAAAGAAAATTAATTTTCTAGTGCCTAAACAAAAATTTATCCTTATATAAAGGACCAACTAGTATAGGGAGTTAGGTTTACAATTAAGAAAATGGCACAATATATATCTCATGAACTGATATTTGCCTATATTAAAAAGACACTGAACTAAATTGAAAATATACCTTAAAATTCATTATAGCATCAAACAACTTGAAGATGGGGTCAAGGATATAGGTGTTGAAGGCACGCTCATTGTCAGGACTCTTTGCTGTAGACCACTTCTTTGTTTTCTTGTTGAAGAAGTTCTCTCCCCACAGCCTTGAAGGAAATTTTAAAATTAAATGCTTGGCAATGAATGGGGGTAAAATAGTAATGAAAATTTTGGCCAAACAAGAATCCCCAAAATCCTAAGGTGAAGTTCAATATTTAATTATTTTGGCCAATAAAGATTTCAGTTCACATTTAAAGAACATACATGTCTAAATGTGGGAATGATTTTTTTTTTGGCTGCTGCTCCAACACTTACAGTTCAACAATAAAACTCCACCCTCACTTCTTACTTTTCAACTGTCATTGGCTACGAGTAATTGGTCTTTTATGGAAGATTTATGGTTAGTTTGATTTTTGTGGCATTAACCCTTCAAGGGTTTCAGACTTACTAGTACAGCTTATGCACCAGGGTTATTCACGTACTAGAAAGCCTAAATTCTAGCGCCTTCAAATCTAGCGAGAGAAAGCTGGTAAGCCTACATATGAAAGAATGGGTCTGTGGTCAGTGTGCACAGGATTAAAAAAAATCCTGCAGCACACAGTGCGTAATGAGAAAAAAAAACTGACCATGTTTTTGGATTAAAACAGACTTTGCACTGTATTTTCGTATGGTATTTATGGTTGTATTCTAGTTTTCCTGGTCTCATTTTATAGAATGGAAGACATATTACAGAAATTGAGATGATTTTGATTGTTTCACAATGAAAGGTACCTTGAAATTGAGCTCAAAGTAGCAGAAATGTTAAGATTTTTACCAAAGTTCTAAAGTAAACAAATCATGGCAAGCGTCCAATACACGTCAACTGGCGAGTAATATTCTTTCACAAGTGTGCCGATATTATTTATACCATTTCTACACTAATGCAGTAGTCTGCATAACAGTAAATAATCTATTTTGTGTGAATAAAAATTCTAAGTGGAAAGCAAAAGAAATGTAAGAAGGGCCTGGGGACGTAACTAACAGAGAACTTAGTGCCAGGAATGTGTCTTGTTTATTCTGGACCCTATTTGGAAATTGGCATCTTCTGAAATTTGTGTGAAATTGGCAAAACTGCCAATTTCTGACCACTATTGAATAGCTGAAATTGGTAAATGGGTGGTTTCTTGTACTCATTCGATAGAAAAAATGGAGTTCTAGCAAAATATGATTTTTGTCGACTAGTACACTGGAATTGACCGGAAATAGGGCTCAAAGTGGGTGAAAGCGTCGATGCGTAAACATCGTCGAAATCACTAACTTCGTGAGAGCATAATTCCGTAAGTTTTCCATGAAATTTCATACTTTTCGTGTCATTATGATCGGGAAAAGATTCTCTATCATTTCATAAGAAAAAAAAAATCCGAAAAATTTTCGACCCTGAGAACGAGTTTAGGAGAGGGCCTCTCAACCCTGAAAGGGTTAATAAGATTACTTCACTAATGGATTTTCAAGTTTCAAGCCTACAGTACCTTGTGGTTGCTTACTTTTTTTTTTTTTGTGGCAGCATTACTCCAACAAAGACAATGTGCCTCTTCTGAATACAACTGTGGGTACCTTACTGCCGGCTGTGATTAACTCCTACTCATTACAAAAGAGGTTTGCTGCAATGAAGTCATGCATGCTCTTTGCAGTCCCAATGGTGTGGAGGAAACCCAAGTATCACACTTGTTACTAGTGTCGGTTCTTAAACTAAATCCCCAAACATAGGTAGAACCTCCTTTGACAGTCAAACCAGTGTAAAAGCATTCAAAGTATCTCCCTGTAAAGATGCATTTCCCTTGGATGATCAAGAAGCTACAAACACCAATTCAATTAGAACCAGTCAACAACCAGGAACCAGATCTAGTGACTAAATCATGCACAGAGCAATCAAAGCTGCTTGTTTCAGGATTGCAACAGTGAGATTTACTGTACCCAATCAGTGTTCAAGAAACAAAAGCCTATAAACTTACTCTAAATTGAAAAAATCAATGTTGCTATTGCAATGCTAATGGACATTTGAGGTTTAGGGAAAACATTATCCTGTAGCTCTGATATACCATTGATGAGTTATACTACTACCAGAGCCCAGCCCTAGGTCAGAACTAAACGGTGTTTAGTCAATCAGACTGTTGCTTCTGGTGGCTTCCTGGCCCACATCTATAACAGCCTGGTTGATCTGGTACTGGGATATGCTTGTCCAATTTCTACACTTGTCCACCAGTGTTTCTTGTAAATTCTGCTAAGATGCTAAATATGACACCATTGATGCTGATACAATATTCCCATAACAGCACCCTGCTTTTCACCTGGTTTATCTTGCTTCCTCCCATATATATATCACTCCTATATGTTATTGAAGTGTTGATTTGGCACCAGGCCCTCAATTACCTTCTGTGTAATTATAATCATACATATTTAAGACCAGCACCCACAATTTAAGATAAGAAATACTATTATTTGTTACATTTGTAGTCTTAAGCAGTAAAAACATAATACATCACAACAATGAATTACAATTACATATTCGCTTTTATTTTTCTAAGATGTGGAGGCCTAAAACAAGTCGTTTGGCTTTTTTGGGGCTCTCAGAAACCTAACCCTATTTTCCCCACAAGTTCTTCAGTTCATCTAACATGTTTTTTTTTACCTAACATGGTGTTTTCAGGAACGTAACTACCGTGTTAAATAACTGTCTACTGTACTAAGATAATTTTAACTAATGTGTACCTGTACCTAAGTAAACTTACACACTGTGCTAGTGTGCAGGTACACGAGCATCTTATTAGCCTCGAAGATGCCGTATTAATAATGATAGAACTATAATAACCAAGGTGCATTAAACGTTATTTCAGACTTTCATTAATCTTTATTTTTTTTCAAAATTACATAATAAACACGCTACATAAACACGATAAATACACCCCACAGTAGAATAAATTAACAAAAAAGATGTTTTTCCCCAGTCGTCTTGGCACAGTGTTGGAAAGAATAATGCTTTCTGTAGTTCAACACCAAAGAAAATGTGTACACAACACTACTACTAGGAGTAACTGTAGAAAATTATTTCTTTCGTATGCCTTCACCCAGAGCACCATTCCTTCTAAAAATGGCGTTACAACCATTCCTTCTAAAAATGGCGTTACAAGAGAATGGGAGTGTTGCTCTATTTATTCTACTATACCAACATGGAGACAACTTGTTTAACTTATTATGGTATAAGCCTCGCAAACATGGAAATGAACGTGTATGAACCATAACCAGATGTGTTTGTCTGCTTGTTTACATACTCTTTTGTCTCGTTTACTCGTTCCTTCTCGTTTGTTAAATCTAGTTTACTGACTTCTTGCCCTACATTAAGGCTACAGATACTTTAAGGCAAGTAATGAGTGCACTGTGTGTAATTTTACTTAACATTTTTTTTAATGCCTCGGTCTATTGCTAACTTAATACGTTAGGGTAAACTTGTTATCTGGCATTGATATAACTGGACAAAAATGGTGTTCTGCTTTCCAGTGGTAGCCTGGAACCTAACCTGCTGTATAAGTGGGACCCTACTGAATTTGTTTAATGATTCTGGGATTATCTTACACATGGCCCACTCACACCTTCGTACAATATAGAACTTCTGCAAACCTGGCATTAAGTAATTCAAACTATTGAAGAATAGTCTATTGACTGTTATGAATTTAAAACAAATAATGTTTAGTAATATAGTTATGTTGATTGACTCGGGTAATAGGATTACACCAGTAATGAGTAAAACTGGCTACTAAGTTAGCCACCCCTTAAAATGGCATACAATATATACACAACCTACCTTATTTTTCCTCATAACAAATCAGTCAATTTACCCTAGAGAAAAATCATACCAGTACTGTTAACTCGAGAACATATTGAACGCCAAGCTTAAATCTTCACAACACAGGTACACAAGACCGATCAAAAATTCATTTCAATCATGTTGAGAAGTATTAACAAATTTGCTAAACCAAACCAAACTCCTAACCACTGTTCCAAAAAGCTAAGCAATGTACTAAACTAGATCATCATAGCCGTTCCCCTGAAACCCTCTACTAAATTTGCCCCTCAATCCAACAAACCATCAATAAAAACTATTGCAGCCACTCGAAAACCCAAAACAAACTGCTATGTAACCTTGAAACCCAAAAGGGAAAAATTGACCCTTACACATTTACTAACTATAGGTGATATGACATCCTAATTTTCTCAACATCTTAATCCAAACACCTACATAGATGAATAAAATTAGGGTAATATACATTAAATCTTCAACCCAAATACGATAATACACCCAACACGCTATACATCTTCCACTGCCTATAGGAAAGCATTCCAAAAAATGCTTAATACCCTAATGTGGACTATACTCGGCAATTCTCCTGAAGCCTGTCATTACCGAGATGCTCAATGAACCAGCTACTTCCCCCACCCCCTTAAAAAGCAATTCTAGGACATTTAACCATTGCGAAGTCCTTTCCCAAAAAATGTACACTTTTTATTTCCCTAACTTTCAACACCATACAAATCCCATTCACTTTTTTTGATACTCCTACCTTCCATCTATCCAAGGTTCACTTCTAATTCCTTACGACCAAACAAACTCATTTACCAATTTCAATTAATTAACTTTTCCAAAAGCACCATCTTTCGGCAAAAGTTGCAAGATCAAAAAGGTTACCCTACCTTAATTCCAAATATCCCCAATGATCAGGCCTAAAAAAGGTAACTTTAAATTTTTCATAGCATGGGAGAGAATTTAACATGCTTGCATAGAAAGGAATTCCTTTACAGAGAAGCCCAACCTTGAAGGCCAGAGCCAAAGCCAACAGAACCCTTACTTGGATCAACACGCATCTCACCCATAGGACCACTGTCGTCGTTGTAAGTAGCAATAATGACATTCACATTTTCCACAATGCGCTGAAAAGATTTAAAGTTACTAAATTAACAAATTACTAGATTTTTAATATTAAAACTTCTGTCACCAGTTACCTCTAATTTACATCAGCCACAAGAGCTTACTTATAATTTAATTACAAATCTTAATACTAAGAACATATTCAAGGTTTTAAAGAATTTTCCCATCATGGCTAATGCTTCTGGAGGTACCAGGAATATTAAAATCATGGGGAAGCACTGAACCCATAGGAGTATACAGCATTTCTGGGGTTGAGGGTTGTGGGCGAAGGGGGAGGGGAATGAAAGGTATTCAGGCTTAATTCAGGAACTGGAGCAAATCCAATTCCCTAGATCAAGAGCCCCTCACCAGAATCAAGAAACCTCCCTTGAAGGGGGGTACCAGGAATAAATTACCAGAAAATAGGATGCTTTGCAAGTGATGTAAGATTTTAATTTAACTTTTTTTAACCTCTCACTTTCATATAGATCTGATTTTGACACCAGCATCGCTAACAGATCTTTTTGAGCTCGGCTCACTTTGATAAGCTCTGAGAAGTAAACTTTGACCTAGACAAATTCATGGTATATATAAAAAAACTAACATGTAGTGCATGATGGGAAAAGCAAACTTCTGACCTCTCATTTGGTTTAAAATGGCAAACAAGGTACTTTTTAAGATAGTTGTGGTTTATTGGCAATTAATCATTTGATCAAACATAAGATATAGTAATGAAATATATTTCTGATTTTGATTGGTTACAGGAAATGTAGCCTGAAATCAATCCCAAAACAGAAATCTTTTCACTATTTACCCAAGGAAAGGTAAGCCCCTAAATGAAAACATTTTGCAGCAGTCATGTTTGGCAATGTAGCGTTGTGCTACTGGATCCCTCTCCAGTAGCACAACCATATTAACTATCCTTCAGTGGTACATCAACATACTCCCTACAAAATAATTTAATACAAATAAACACTAATGTCTTTGCACCAAGTTTCTAACAGTCACTAAGCCATTATTATACAGACCTGGAACGTCTGGTAAAGTTCTTCTTGCTCTAGTTGCAGTTCTAAAAGGGCACGGTCCATCTTGTTCATGAACAACACTGGCTTGATGCGTTCAGCAATAGCCTGACGGAGAACAGTTTCAGTCTGCACACAGACACCTGCCAAAGGAGCAATGCTATATACATGAAACAATAGTATAGTTTGCCCAAGTCAAGTGAAAACTTGCCAAATTATTTCAACTTTGTATATTTTCCATCAATTATTACTGGACCAGTCATTCATACTCTTTTCCAGGTTAAATTAACATTAGCAATTTCTTTAACACTAGGCTTCATAACTTTTCAGTTTAGTCTTCAACCATTGTAAACTACAGCTGGTAGTCTCCAAATTTATTAGAAATATTGGTATGGTGAATTTTTTTTTACAACAAGACTGGTGTGTTGATCAAGACATTTACCAAAGTAACACAAGCCACTGATGACTTCTTCATTCCTTGGTAAATTTATCAGTGTACCTTCATTAAAAATTAATTCACTAGCTTTTCTAAACTTAAAATCCTTTACACTACAGAAATTCAATACAGCGCTTGCAGTACCAACATTTAAGAAGCACCTTGATCACTAATACGTCACTAGATGAATACTAAAGTTTCGTGTTATACAAGCTTTCAGGTAAAGAATTATTTGGAGAGCATAATTACCATTATGATTATGTATGGTTTATTTATTAGTTAAATGTATCATACTGTCAAAAATAAAGCTTATGGCTCTCTAAATCATTTTCTGATCTTATGGACTATGAAGGCAACTTACCCGACACACAATCCACCACTACAAGAGCACCATCAGTAACGCGCAAGGCTGCCGTCACCTCTGATGAGAAGTCGACATGACCAGGCGAATCAATGAGGTTTATAAGGAAACCACTCTCCCCCTTCTCTTTTTGGTCAGGATGAGAAATCAGATTGATGTTCTCATCAGACAGTTTGAAGTACATAGAGATGGCACTGAAGGAAAAGAGCTTATTAACCTGTGTTTTAAAAAAGTTATCTAAATTTAAATCAAAGTGCATTCAGTTGTCTGAACACGAATCTCTGTGATTCTCTAACCACTCATACGAACGAGTTGATCATCACTTTTTCTGATACTTTTATTCACCAAAAGTATTATTACAAAATTTAACAAGAACTTCCAACATTGCCAGTTTAAAAACAAATAAAGACACTATGTACATGCATGAAGCAAAAATACATGAAACTGATACTTATACTACACTAAGACAATTACACACAATTCTTAATTTAGTAAGTTGCCTACTCTCCAGGAAATGGGCTGGAGGGAAAGTGTCCCCTTCCCTCCCAGAATAGACAAAACTGCAGATGAAATACCCATTCACAATTTTTTTTTTTTTTAAGACTACCAAATGACTATGGTAATATTCAACACTTGTTAACTACATGAGCTCAGGTTACTCGAGCTATAAGCAGTAAATTTTGGTCTAGGTACGAGATAATGGGTCTATGCGGTAAGGGTACGTCAAAAAATTATTCAGCATGCAATGCATAACGAGAAAAAAACTGCAACCATGATTTTGGGTTAAAACTGACTGGTGTATTTTTGTTTCGTTGTCTCATTGATAGAATGGAAGATATATTACAGAAAAGAGAAATAATTTTGATTGGTTTCAGAACTGAAAATTGCTTAAAATAAAGCTCCAAGAAGTGGAAATGTTCAATTCTTGCTGATATTCAAGAGTAAACGAATTATGTCACTTCTCCAAGGAACGTCCAACTGGTGGGTCAAATATGCATTCACGAATGCACTGATATTTATACCATTATTACAATATTGCATAACAGTAAATATTTTTTTTTGCACTAAGAAAAAATCAAAATGGAATTCACCTGTGAAGCCTGGGGAACATAATGAACAGAGGAAAATTAATTTTCGTGCCAGGAATGCCTGCACTGTTTATTCAGAACCCTATTTTGAAATTGGCCCAATTACCAATTTCTGATCACTTGGGTAGTGTCATATGCCATTCCAAGGGGAAGAAGTAAACCTCAGTGTATCACATGGCCCTACAATAGGAACTGATAGTGAAGATGATATTGTGACAATGGGGATGACTAATGTGTGTGTGGCGCAGCAGGTGGTGGTGTTACGCCTCATGGCACCAGGAGTGGGCCATGCTGGTACCCATGCTGCTGATTTGCCCTAGCCACAACAAATCCCACCTTCAACCACCCCCACACAATCACCTGTCAATATCCAGTATCCACCAGCAGACCACATCTGGGATTGGCAGCAAGGTGCCAATTTTGTTCCCAATCCCCATCACTTTGATGAAACAAAGTGGAATACGGCCATCGTGTACACTTGGGAACAATGCCACTGAACTGGAATGCTTTGTTATTCTTTGATGAACCCCTGATGGCCATTATTGTAAGACAAAGTAACACACTTTGAATACACCATGGCAAACAACTGTTTCACCAAGATCACGTTTACACAAGTGGAAGGACAACTGTGGCAGAGATCAATCTGTTTTTTGCCAAAATAATGCTTATGCCACATGTGTATAAGTACACGGTCACCACGTACTGGATGACAGACCACCTGATTTCAACCCCATCTTTCAGTGACATACTAGTGAATATTTCTGCTGCTGTTTCATATGCTACACTTCAGACAAAACAAGGCCTCACAGATCAGGAATATGCTTATGTACCTGAAACAAAATTTCTGTATGTAATTTTTATCCCTTCAGGAAGCTTGTTATTGACCAGTCTGATTTTGTTCAGACTCATTCTAGCAGCACATACCAAGCAAGAAGAAAAGCTTTGGTATAAAGTTATTTGTATTGTGCGATTGCAAAAGTCGTCTGGTTTTGGATATACAGTGGTCCCTCGATAATCGTAGGGCTAGAGTAGTAGATTTTGGAAATCATAGCGATATTTTTGTATAAACATGGGCTCGCTAATCATAGATTGACTCGCGAATAGTAGTTCGTCCGGGATAGGTACACACAGCCCCGAGCCACCTCACACTGCTTTCCCAGCCAGTGTGCCATTGTTTATCAGTGAGTGAGGATGGTCCACGAGTTCATACGATACATTTCATAATATTCCATTCGTTTTAGTGTTTGCAACTGCTAAATAAGTCACCATGGCTCCAAAGAAAGCTTCTAGTGCCAGCCTTTTGGTAAAGGATGCGAGAAACACATAATTTAATAAAAAGTTTGTAGAAAAATATGAAGGTGGTGGTCGTGGTAGAGTGGAAGCAGTTGTGATAGTGGTTGATGGTGGTAGCAGTTGTAATAGTGTAATACTGGTTCTTATGTTATTGAGGCTAGGACTTTGGGTAGTTTCAAATTTAGGTTGGATAAATATACAAGTGAGGGGTTGGATTTAAGTGGGACTTGCAAATGAGTGGATTGAGTAATCAGATTATTTCTTGGGTAGCATTGAAAATTGGGTTGGGCAAATGTTTTGTTAGTGGGATGGATTGTAAAGGACCTGCCTAGTATGGGCAAACAGGCCTGCTGCAGTGATCCTCCTTTCTTATGTTCTTAACCCCTCTCACTTGTTTATTTATCCAACCTAAATTTGAAACTACCCAATGTTTTAGCTTCAATCACCCTACTAGGCAGACCATTCCACTCATCAACTACCTCTATTACCAATGTTCATTTATACATTTTATTAGTGTTTTACATTTATTTGGCATTCTTTTCTGCATGTAAATCTATATTTAAGCTAGGTAAGTGACCCCACCTCCAGGAACGGATTAAAAACGATAAACGAGGGACCACTGTAATTGTGTACATTGGCAGTAATACATTGCAAGATACCAGGAAGTTATTGGGTGTATCTGATGATGTGGTTAGAATAACGATGAAAGCACATCTTGGTAAGGATCATATATTATATACTGGTAAATGGTACACAAGCCCCTTACTTAGAGATTTCTTGCGAGTGAACATGACAGACGTATGTGGCACAGTGAGTGGAAATCTTAAGCACATGCCTAAGTTTGATGCAGGCACTCTCAGAGGTGAGGTGCAGGCGTTTGCTGCCAATGGCATTTCAGTGGCATGACAAACGTGATGTCGCATTGTTGACCTCGGTTCACCTAAACGTAATGGCAAACAGTGGCAGGCACAATAGACACCCCAACGAACCCATTCTAAAACCTGCAGCTGTGATGGACTACAACTTGAATATGCACTTAGTGGACAAATGTGACATGCAGACTGGGTTTGCTGATTGTGTTTGCAAGAGTTATAAGTGGTACATAAAACTTTCCAATTCTTGACATTTCCATGCTGACTGTTTATAATATATAGAAGTTGGAGACCAACAAAAAAATGAAATATGGTGAATTTTGTTTGTTAGTCATCAAACAAATAATATTCAAGTACCAAGCAACAACTGCAATAGACCAGCACCCATGAAATTATCAACACATACCCTCTTGTCTAAGGCCTGGTGATCACTACCCCATACAACTGCTTCCTAATATTTTCAAGGAAAGTGCTCAGAAGAGGTGTTATGTCTGTGTACATACCACAAAACGCCACAAAAATGCAAACACTCGTTTTATGTGCGAGGAGTGTAAAAGAATACTGCATAACATCGTTTCAAAGAATTCCACAAGCTGCAGCAGTTCTAGGAGTGTCCAGTGACTACATTTGTATACATATTATAGAACAATACTAGTAAAATTTTTTTGTTGGTTTGTGCAAACAAGTTTTATAAACAATGAAAAAATGTTTGTGCAGTTATTGTGTTGTATACAATGAGTGCATACACATGTACATTGCACCTTACTTTGGTCTCGCATGCCACAAAAGTTACTTAAAAAAAAAATATATATAAATCTAAAAAGACAAGAAACCTTCGAATGGGAGTAAATATAAGAAAACCGGGTGACTGGCCTTTGACGCTGTTGCCATTATTGGCTCATTTTCTGCCAATTATATGCCTCTATATAGCGGTACATACTGATAGCATTTGGGAGGTGGGGGGCTTAAAACAATCAGCTAATTAATCTTGACATTTTGGCAAGAAAATTTTTTTCGAATATTTTGTGACATACAGACTTCAGGATTTGGGGTTGCAACAGTCAAAGGGTTAAAAATAAAGAATAAACAATTTGGACCTTCCTGTCACTTAAAAAAACATTCTTTGTTTATTAGTCACAGTTCCAGCCCCCTCCCATATTACACTTTCTATCCATTTTGAATTTTTCTTAAAAAAAAAAAAAAAAAAAAAAAAAAAAAAAAAAAAAGTGCATTCCTAAATGTGTATTAGACTGGTCAGTTTGACACACATTGGACTAATGTTATACGTATAGTACTCTAATATCAGCAAAAATCGAACATTTCAGCTACTTTGAGCTCAATTTTTAGCCACTTTCAGTCATGAAATTAGTCAAAATCATTTCTATTTCTCTAATATATCTTCCATGGTGGTTTCTTGGTCTTGCCGTTTTAAACCATTTTTTTCTCATGCACTACGTGCTGCAAGATTTTGTTTTTTAAATGAGGCACACTTACCACAGACCCATTCTCTCATCTAGGCTCAATTTCAACACTCAACTTATCTGAATGAGCAGAGCTCATGGCATAGTACTATGGGACTGACCCCTGGCTTTAAAGCCATAGTACAACGGGACAGACCAAAAGGGTTAAATATACAATACAGTGGACCCTCAGGTAATGGCGGCATTGGCTAACGCCAAAATCGGACAGCGGCACTTGCGTCAAAATATTGGATCGGCTAACGCCCAAGAACTCTGCTAAGGACATTCGTCCCAAACATGTCCGCACGGCCTGAGCCCATGTACAGGTAGTGTGCCATTGTTTACAAGCCAGTGAGGATGATTCCACACATACATGCAATATATTTTTTATTATTCCATTGCTTTTAGTGCTTTTAACTGCTAAATAAGCCACCATGGTCCCAAAGAAAGCTTTTAGCACCAGTCAGGTGGTAAAGAAGGAAAGAAGCACAATAGAATTCAAGAAAAAACTCTTAGCAAAGTACCAAAGTGGAGGAGGGAGAGAGGGGGAAGAATGTACCTTCTTCAGTGATTCTATATGTACGATACTAAAGCAGCAGGCATCAATAAAGGCTATAGTGCCAGCCAGCGATGAAGTGTAGAATTAACAGTGTAGCACGTTAGGCGAGTAGCGATAGAAAAACGATACGAAAGTAACTCTCCAACGTTGTTTGATGTGTATAGGGCCGCCGAACATAGGCCGGCCTGCTATCTACCACCGCCACCCTAAACCTCTGCCAGCATCTCCAGCAAACTAACTAATCAAACTAACATCTCTTCCAAGGTAAGTAAATATAAGTAATTATAAAAGGACCCCAATGGAAATATGTAGTTACCCTAGGTACTTTACACACATGCTGCTATGTATGATAATCTATGTACATAACTATTTGTGTATACCTGAATAAACTTATTTGTAAATTAAAATTTAAATATTTCTTATTTATAAATTACATATATTAAGTGTGGATAGTGGTGGTGGGTTCTGCTGCTGCCTCCACTACCACTATGCACGGCTTCTCTCAGTGGCCCTTATAAACCCACCACATGCTCCTCACATACATTATATTTTATTCATTCTAGAGTATACATCATGTTTCTATGTTATTAATATTGTTTATGTCATAGAAGATGAATTGTGATAGATAAATAAGCCGAAGAGATTATATTAGCGTCATATTGAAGCATAATAAACTTGCCTTCCTCTTACCTCCTACTTGTCTTCCATACACCAACGTAAGTCACTAAAGGTAAGTGTGATGTTAAATGTTCATTTATCCATTTTATTAGTGCTTTATATTTGTGTGTTATTGTTTTCTGTATGTATATCTATATTTCATCTTAAAAAAAATTTTTTTGCTAGTACTTTTGGCTGTATGAAACGGATTAATTGGATTTCCGTTATTTCTTATGGGGAAAATTAATTCGGCAAATGGCAAAATCGGTTGAAGGCAAGCTCTCTGGAACAGATTAATGCCGTCACCCGAGGGTCCACTGTATACATCTACAAAGACCTTCATTTAATTGTGTAATTGTAGTATACCAAGCCAAAGTGTTTTAACAAGTCTCAAACCCACCTAACCATGGGCGACAAAACCCCCAAGAAAAAGTAATGAATGCATGCACCCAAATAGGCAACTTAAAAAAACCCTGCTCACACTCCAACAGATCGTCAGGTCCCAAATACCATTCGTCTCCATTCACTCCTATCTAACACGCTCATGCACGCTTGCTGGAAGTCTAAACCCCTCGTCCACAAAACCTCCTTTACCCCCTCCCTCCAACCTTTTCGAGGACAACCCCTACAAACCTTCCTTCCCTACAGATTTATACGCTCTCCACCTCATTCTACTTTGATCAATTCTCTCTAAATGACCAAACCACCTCAACAACCCCTCTTCAGCCCTCTGACTAATACTTTTATTAACTCCACACCTTCTCCTAATTTCCACACTGAATTTTCTGCATAATATTTACACCACATATTGCCCTTAGACAGGATATCACCACTGCCTCCAACTGCCTCCTCGCTGCTGCATTTACAACCCAAGCTTCACACCCATAAGACTGTTGGTACTACTATACTTTCATACATTTCCTTCTTTGCCTCTATAGATAATGTTTTTTGTCTCCACATATACCTCAATGCACCACTTGCCTTTTTTCCCCTCATCAATTCTATGATTAACCTCATCCTTCATAAATCCATCTGCTGACATGTCAACTCCCAAGTATCTGAAAACACTCACTTCTTCCATACTACTCCTCCCCAATTTGATATCCAATTTTTCTTTATCTAAACCATTTGATATCCTCATCACCTTACTCTTTTCTATGTTCACTTTCAACTTTCTACCTTTACACACCCAATTTCATCCACTAACCTTCGCAATTTTTCTTTAGAATCTCCAATGAGCACAGTATCATCAGCAAAAAGCAACTGTCAATTCCCATTTTGTATTTGATTCCCCATAATTTAATCCCACCCCTTCCTCGAACACCCAAGCATTTACTTCTTTTACAACCCCATCTATAAATATATTGAACAACCATCGTGACATTACACATCCCTGTCTATGACCTACTTTTACTGGGAAGTAGTTTCCCTCTCTTCTACACACCCTAACCCAAGCCTCACTATCCTCATAAAAACTCTTTAAAGCATTTAGTAACTTACCACCTATTCCATATACTTGCAACATCTCCCACATTGCTCCCTTATCCACCATCATATACCTTTTCTAAACCCATAAATGCAATAAAAACTTCCCTACCTTTATCTAAATACTGTTCACATATATGCCTCAATGTAAACACAATCTACACATCCCCTACCCACTGAAACCTCCTTGCTCATCCACAATCCTACATTCCGTCTTTCCTCTAAATCTTTCAATTATAACCCTACCGTACAAGTTTCCTGGTAGTATACTCAGTAAACTTATTCCTCTTTAATTTTTACAATCTCTTTTGTCCCCCTTCCCTTTATATGAAGGGACTACATGCTCTGCCAATCCCTAGGTACCTTCCCCTCTTTCATACATTAAACAAAAATACCAACCACTCCAACACTATATCCCCCCCTGCTTTTAACATTTTTGTCACGATCCCGTCAGTTCCAGCTGCTTTAACCCCTTTCATTCTACGTAATGCCTCACGCACCTCCCACACTCACACCCTGTTGTTCTTCACTCCTAAAAGATGGTATACCTCCCTGGCCAGTGCATGAAATTACCACTTCCCTTTCTTCGTCTACATTTAAAAGCTCAAAATATTCTCGCCATCTACCCGAAACCTCCATCTCCCCATCTACTAACTCCTATACTCTGTTTTTAACTGACAAATCCATACTTTCCCTAGGCTTTCTTAAATTTAACTCGCTCCAAATTTTTTTTTTCTTATTTTCATTAAAATTTCTTGACAGTGCCTCTCCCACTATTATCTGCTCTCCTTTTTCACTCTCACGACTCTTCACCTTTCTTTTACTCTCCATATACTCTACTCTTCTTATAACACTTCTGCGTTGTAAAAACCACTCATAAGCTAACGTTTTCTCTTTTATCACACCCTTTACTTCATCATTCCACCAGTCACTCCTCATTCCTCCTGCACCCACTCTCCTATAACCACAAACTTCTGCCCCACATTCTAATACTGCATTTGTAAAACTATTCCAACCCTCTTCAAACCCCCCACTACTCATACTTGCACCAGCCCACCTTTCTGCCAATAGTTGCTTATATCTCATCCGAACTTCCTCCTCCCTTGGTTTATACACGTTCACCTCCCTCTTGCTTGTTGCCATTTTCCTCTTTTCCCATCTACCTCTTACTCGAACTGTAGCTACAACTAAATAATGATCCGATATATCAGTTGCCTCTATAAACCTGTACATCCTGGAGCCTACCCATCAACCTTTTATCCACCAATACATAATCTAAAACTACTTTCATTACGTGCTATATCATACCTTGTATATTTATTTATCCTCTTCTTCATAAAATATGTATTACTTATTACCAAACCTCTTTCTACACATAGCTCAATTGAAAGCTCCCCATTTTCAATTACCCCTGGCACCCGAAATTTACCTACTACTCCCTCCACAACATTTTTGCCCACTTTAGCACTGAAATCCCCAACCACCATTACTCTCACACTTTGTTCAAAATATATTAAAAAATAAACCTATTAAGAATAAAACACACTCACCTAGACAAGCCTGGCCATGGTAGCAAGACTAAACTCAAAGCTAAATCAAAGGTAAACCAAATTGGAAAGAAAAATCACATTTGCTATTTCATTTACAGTATTCTAGTAGACCAAATCACAAATGACTGGTACTTTACAGTATAGATCAAGGGCTCATGGCTAAATCAATGATGGAAGCCTTTCATGAAATTAAAATGTGTCCCCTTCTCTTATGAAATACTACTTGCATCCCTGGTCCATGGAAGCTGCACTAGACATTGCATCTAAACATTCTTCTGCGAACCGTAAAATAATTTTTTTTCAAACATGCAATTAGAAACTTGTCACAATGATTCTGCATAAATTAAGAATCTTCATAATGGACAGGTAATACTTACGTTGATTTAATGGTAATGCAACGTTCTTGCTCATCTTTACGGGTATCTGTGAAACGAGTTTCTCCAGCACGGGAAGAAGCGATGATACCAGCTTTCGACACTAGAGAGTCTGTTAACGTAGATTTTCCATGATCAACGTGGGCAATAACCGACATATTCCGGATGTTCTTCTTTTTGTCCATCAGTTGCCTGATCTCTTCCACTGTGAAGTTCACCTGTTAGGAAAAAAAAAAAAAAAAATCAGCCAACCCTAGTTCATATAAAGTGCAGTACATTTCTAAACTAATTTAGGAAGCTTTCAAAATTTAAAGCATTCTGAAGTAATCCAAACTTTCAATTGCAGGCCATCTACAATGTCCATCTTTCTTTACCCATCTTTGCTCATACTCTGATACTCAGCAGTTCCAAACCATGTAAGGATCACCAGAAACCAATTTATCTACCCGTTTCTGAAAGTAATGTGGTAAACAAAATTGGTAGACATCTTAGCCTGTGTTGGATTGCTTTTCAGGCATGCAAGTCATCAACTGACTAAAGGGATTTGGGAAAATTAACCCTGGCCAGTAAAAGGTATCAGACAGGGCATGTGAGGATAGCTAATGTGATACCAATTTACAAACTATGTGACAGGCTTGTAAAAAGCAACCTATTATTTTTCAAGTCAAAACTGGGAAATATTAAGGAAAAACTTATTTAATACATCAACAATAACTCTCATGGCTGTTTTATGAGTCTTGGCTCACAAATATACAAACTCTTCACATGAAAGTATTTGAGACAGTGTGACCTCAGTTACTGCACTCAAAACTTATTATGTAAAAGTGAAACTACATTCTCTTATTACAGCATGGCCAATCCCGTAATTAAATATACACCAATGAGAAACTAGGCATGGGGCCAGTAGACCTATGCAGTGCTCTTTCTTATGTTCGTTTATGCAAGAAAAGATGGCTGAAGTGCTTCCACCCTGCCGAGAATCAAACCTGGACCCTCCGCATGTGAAGAGATCTTTGCCAGCCAGGCCACAGGACCCTGTATAATAATGTACGAGGCAGAGACGAAAGATAATGTACATGTGGAAAGTACTCTAGGGCCTGGTCCCAAATCTGCACACTTCCCAGTGAAAAGCGTAAGCACCATGGGCATAATATGAGAACAATATTAACATTAGTGGCTCAAATGTTCAATATACAGTATCAGAAAATATCTAAATGCTGGGACAAGTATAGAAACCTCAGAGAGGATACTGTGTCAGTAGTGTTACTGTGTAGTGTACTTAAATAAAACCAACTACCTTATAGATATGCTCCCTTGATAGCCATGATGTCAAGAGACCCATCACATGTGAGCAATAGGCCTGAGGGTGCACCCCCCCCCCCAGTTCAATGCTAGGCTTTGACTCAACAGCAGGTCTGGGCTACTCTTCAAGACTCCCTTAATTATATGCCTCCAAGACATCCAATGTGTGTATTTCTTATTCCAATACCTCCTGCCAAGTGCCACAGCAATCAGGATGAGGGTTATGTGGGCAAGTGGGCCACCAGCAACATCAGTGCAGTTGAACAAGCAAGCCTGGTCAAGGCCAGGCTCTGAGAGTAGAAAAACTATCCTAAGATGAAGAGTCATTAACATTACGATCACTCATGCGAGTCATCAACTTTGGCCAAGACTTTAGAGAACAGGTCTGTGGTGATCTCAAAAGATGCTATTGTTCATCATAGTTACTAATAATAAAACAAATGAATTTATCAACAATCCAAGGTGTTTACAGCAACACCAGGAATATCAATATTCAACTACAAGATGCTCCTACATTCTTTAAAGAATATAAGAAAGAGCACTGCAGCAAGCCTACTGGCCCATGCTAGGCAGGTCACCTACTGGCCCAACAGTCAGGTCCAAGTCACAATCACCCACATCCACTTGTGTATTTGTGTAACCTATTTTTAAAACTACTCAGTTTTAGCTTCACTCTTACCTGGCTTACACATGACAACAGGTATCTTTACCTTACCTGGGTACACAGACATTCATCACTACAGGACTGAGCACATGGGGGAAGGGATTGCTATCTACTACTATAATATGTCGTAGCTACATTTATCAGTGATTTATTTACTACATTTATCAGTGATTTATTTACTACATTTACCAGTGATATATGTACTCATACTAATATTCACACCTTAAGAGACACCCTAAAGAACCTAATAACAAGAACATAGCTAAGATTTTGTGGACCCTCAAGTAGCTGGCTTCCTCATCAGCATGTACAATTCCTTTCATATACCATGCACAACCAAGCTCACAAGAATGAGACTGGTGCATCCACAATTTACCACAGATGGACTAATATAATAACCCCTCAAAACAGTGATTACACAATACTACCAACCACTACCTCACCTTCCTCATAACACATGTAAGCGACTACTAGATACTAGTATGATCTCTCGTCATCACGAGATACCTTTAAATAACTTTTCTACAGCAATAAGCAACATTGACTGGAACAGTTTACTTACGACGGGATTTGATGAATGGGTCAATATTTTTCATTAAAAAAAAAATCCTAGAGACAAATAGTCCATGGCAATCAAATAGTATCCTTCAGTTCACTGATAAGAAAACCATGAAAAATAGTAGAGAGCAGTAACTGAAGAAAAAGCTATGCATCAGTACTTACTACACTAATAAGGAAGCCTAAACTTACGCTACCAGGCTCAATCAAAAAGGCGATTTGAAGACCTGAAACACTCGAATAGTGGGCTCTCATTAAACTGGCCAAAGCCAAATATATTGTTTTAACTTCAGCCAATGAACCTTAGCCAGCCTGCTGCAACAACTAATACATTAAATATCTCTACCGAAGAATCAAGTCTCCCTAGCAAAATCCCAAGTACCAATGCTCGAGCGAGAATTTCCTAAGTCGCTCTATCTGGCCTCAACTAACTACTGAGGTCTCTTGATAAATTCACTGAAAAACCACATTGATAACTTAGCTCACGTACTACCACTAATTGTTCAAAAGATCATCTCTTGTACTGTCACCCACCATAGTAATATTGGTTGTTAATAATTATTTTAACAACATACCCAAAAATGCTCACGATACCAAGGGTTACCTCAATAGAGCCAACCAACACAAATAACTAAGACCTACAGTGGAACCTCAAATTTTCAACATATCGCTTATCGAGCTCTTCGAAAATCGACCGCTTTTATCGAACCAACTGTCCCTATTTCCGAACAGTCGGGTACTGGACCTGTCCGCATCCCTGCGCAGGCACCGTGAGCCAGTCTGGCTTTCTTGATGCTTGAGTGAACACTAACCTGCTGTCTCATTCAAACATTTTACAATTAATTCATTGTGTTTAGTGCTTGTGGGACTGAAACTACCATGGGCCCAAATAAACTTGCTAGTGGTACCCCTGTGGTGAAGAAAGGGAGAAACACTATACAGTGGACCCCCGCATAACGATCACCTCCGAATGCGACCAATTATGTAAGTGTATTTATGTAAGTGCGTTTGTACGTGTATGTTTGGGGGTCTAAAATGGACTAATTTACTTCACAACATTCCTTATGGGAACAAATTCGGTCAGTACTGGCACCTGAACATACTTCTGGAGTGAAAAAATATCGTTAACCGGGGGTCCACTGTATATGTGAAGAAGGAAATAACACAAGTTTGAGAGTGGTGCGAGACTTTTTGAGCTTGCCAGGATGCATGGAAAAAAACAAGTCGACCAAGGTGCCTTCTTCAAAGACTAAGGAGATTTGTGCAAAGTGGAATGATGTTCAAATGTTTGTGGAGAAGTACCACCCTGAGCAAGCTGAAACAAGCCATCTTTGCAACAAGTTCAGTGACAAAACGATGTCCCATTTTAGGGAAACCTTAAAGAGGCGCCAGAAACAGAGGACTGTGCACAGCTATTTTGCGAGACAGGGGTCCAGTGACTCAAGCTGGTCCTAGTGGCATTAACCCATTGACTGTTTTGGTCGTATATATACGTCTTATGAGGTACAGTGTTTGACATATATATACTCAAATTCTACCGGCTTCAAATCGAGCAGGAGAAAGCTGGTAGGCCCACATGTGAGAGAATAGGTCTGTGTGGTCAGTGTGCACCATATAAAAAAAAAATGGAAAACATACTATAGGAATAGAGGTGATTTCGATTGGTTTTACTATAAAAAGAACCTGGAAATGGACCTCAAAGTAGGGAAAATGTTTGATTTTTGCCGATGTTCAAAAGTAAACAAATGATATTGTCCAATAAATGCCCAACTAGCCATTCTAATACGCAGTCATGAATGGGTTGACATTTGTACAATTAATACAATATTGCAGTAGTCTGCATAACAGTAAATCTTCTATTTTTTGTTTGAATAAAAATTCGAAGAAAGCAAGAGTAATATCAGAGGGGCCTGGAGATGTGACTGATGAACAAAGAAAATGTTACTTTAGAGCCAGGAATGTCTGCATTGTTCATTCTGGACCTTATTTTGAAACTCATATTTTTTAATTTTTGTGAAATTGGCCAAAATGCGAATTTCTGACCACGTTATTGGGTAGTTGAAATCGGTAAATGGGCAGTTTCTTGTACTCAATCGATAGAAAAAATGGAGTTCTAAAGAAATAGCTACGAGTCTAGTCGACTGGAACAATGGAATTAGCCGAAAATAGGGCTCAAAGGGCGAAATCGCCAATGTCGCTAACTTTGCGAGAGTGTAATTCCGCCAGTTTTCCATCAAATTTTGATTTTTTGGTGTCATTACAATCGGGAAAAGATTCTCTATCATTTCATAAGAATTTTTTTTTTGTTTAAATTTCGCAACACCAGGAGACACCTCAAGATTGGGGGTTGCAACAGTCAAGGGGTTAAAAGACAGAAGGGGAGTAATCCCAGAGAGGGCTTTGATACCTAAAGTCCTTATGGAGGGGGATTCCCCTTTCAAACACTAACCCCAACTCCCTCTCTCCTCCTTGTCTACCAGATGCCATCACCAATCTTCAATTAAGGTAAGTAAAAATGTTATTTTATATGTTATTTAAATTTATTAATAATTGTACGCTGTATTTCTTGTGTGCATGAAAAACTAATATCTATAGTGTGTATTTTTGTGAATATTTTTGGGTTTCTGGAATGGATTAATTGTATTTCCATTATTTCTTATGGGAAATATTGCTTCACCTTTCAAACTTTGACTT